TAAAATATGTAGTTTTAACTTGCTTTTGCATTTAACCTGGGTGGTGGTGGGGGGGGGGGCGCGTTGTATTGATGAATAAGTAGATGATACGACCTTTGGAGTCAGTCGAGAAATGGGTTCAAAATCCAACTCTGCCACTCATGAAAGGTATGACCCTGGATAAGCTGCATAATTTCCTAAGATTTCTTATCATTGCAAAATGGAACTAATAAGTACTTCACAAAGCCGTTAACCTAAGGATTACATTAGTTAATATGTATAGGTCCCTTAAGGGACTGCCTCACATTTAGCATTCAAAACATGGTAGCTAATAATAATGTCAGCTAACATTTTGTGGGAGAGAAAAATGTAAGAACAATATGAGACCATTTAAAAAGTAGTATGGACAGTTGCATAAAGGAAATGAGAAAATGTAGAGAGTAAGGGTGCAGCACGATGACATAGGGAACGCTGAGAGAAGGGAAGCAATGTAGGGGATGTAAGCTATACATCCAATTCATGAAAACAAAGTCTGTGACCCCTTCCAGTAAAATATGAATAGAGATGAAACAGTGGCCTCACCTTGGTTGTAAGGTGAATGTGTTCATCAGATTAAATTTCACTTGGCATATCCTGCTGTTTACTTGGACAGTGATGTTGGAGTAAGTTATTCTTTATTATTTCTATCTCTTGGCATTCTGATTAGCTCATCAGCAATCAGTCACTATTCACTCTTCAATTGCTTTTATTAAGTAGCCAACTCCTCCCCCCGCTCCCCACCCCCATCAGCAAATTATTCACGTTTGGGAAAGATTCCTCTCTCTTGAGAGAGTGCTTGCTCCAGGCCAGATGAAATGTAGTCGTGCTGCTACAAGACTCGCATGAATCATGGAATTTTAAGACAAACTTTAAGTAGTATGGTTTCTAGGGAATATAAGGGTATGCCAGTCACCTTTGGATTCATTCTGACTCTGATGATTTTTCAGAGGGAGCACTGAGGAATTGAATAAATTGTATAACTTGATATGCTAGCTAATTTTGTGAATGTCTTTTTGGTCGGGGCTGTGTAAGTGCAGTATGCATGTAATTCTTTGCTTTTGTCTTTCTGAATTAGAGCAAAAACACATCCAGGTACAATTATAGCATATATTATCCTGAACTCGTCAGCACAGTGGAGTTCCTTTCAATATTTCTGAGGATGGTCAATTATCTTTGAAAAGAGTCCACCAATCTGTATGCGCTGGCTTTTTCCCCCTCTCTCATTAGAATTAATCTTGAAAGTTATATGTGGAATATTTAAAAAATTAAGTCACATTTTCCCATCCTAAGTAAGGAAATTTGTGCTCATAGAAAAAAAAATGTTGGGCCTTTTCTAATGAAAATCAAATTTTAAAGTACTAGCCTTTTACAGTGAGTATTCTGCATTTGTCAATGTGCAGATTGCAGTAACTTTTTTATACAAGAAGTTAGTCAAGTGGATCCACACCATTAAAAACAAATGGTTATTTTCATGTTATTGAGATTTTTCCCTCAAGCTGTGAGTCTTGAATATTTAAGTACACATCCCATTTGTGGCAATCTGTCTTGCCTTTTGTGACATTGTCTTGTGAGTAGAGCCACAAAAAGTTGTCTTTTTATTGAGATTTATTGGGCTGTGGCCTTCTGTGGTTAAAGTAGAAATTTAGATGAATCAATATGAACTTTAAAAAAATGAATACGCTCAAAGCAGTGCTGGCCTTCAAATAGAGCAGTATCTGTGAGATGTGTTTAAACTATTTACCCTGCCTCTGTTTGATAACAGTTGAGGCCCCAATCAGGTTTGTATTTTCAATCCTGTAAAAGGCGACTGGACCGCCCTTACGTAGGACCTGGAGAGTACAAGCAATGATAGCTTCACCTGGCAGGGACCCGGAGTAGCGTTCAATCATGTCCTGGCTTAGTCAGGCTCTAAAAGCCAGGGTGCAAAACAAAACATCCTATAGAGTTATTCTAGTAATTTCTTTAAATCGCCCTTAAACTACAATATGTGCAGGTTAGTGTATATCACTCTGAAGCGTAATTTTTATGCACAGCATAGTCTGAGAACCACTGGGCTAGAATAAAGGAAGGAACAAAAGGGGTGCTGTCTAGACACTCAAACTATTGTTTCTTTGTGGTAACTCCCTACATCCATGGAAAAGTGGAGAATGCTAAAGAATCCTGCTTGCCTGCAGGATTTACCGCGTTCTCCTTTGAGATCACGCCTCTGTAATCTTCAGACATGTTAATAGATTGGGTTGGTAATGTAAGGATTAGATTAGACAGTAAGCATGAAAGCACCTTGCTCAGGACCAGGTTGATGTGATAGGTTTAAATCGAAGTGCTGCTTGTCATTGTTCTTTGGAAAGTTGTAGAGGAGGATTTGGCCAGCTGCCTCCTGTTTTTCTAGGTTGGGACTTCCCACTGCCTACCAGTGACTTACACAGTCTTGTACATTGGCTGCCTCTGTGGGCCAGTTGGAGTTAGGAGTGGGTGAGGTTTTCAGTTCTAAGGTCAGGCCCTACATTTGGTGGATATGACGTGACTCAGTTGAATATCATATATAACCCTTGGGATCTGTAGGTCTTCTCTTGGTCTTCTAGAGTACAGATTTCCAATGTGAGAATCACCTGATGAAATTGTGTAAACCGCCTACCTAGACTTTCCATGGCGCAGTCATAACTATGTGTGTTTAAATGTTTTTTTATTATGTGTTTTTGGGGGTATGTTCGAATTTGTATTTTTAGAGAACTGCCCAGGTAATTCTTATGTAACCAGCATAACCCTGGGGAGTAATATATTTTGCCACAAGGGTCTTTGAACATTTATGACCCTAATTTAGCATAAATTATTTAGGAAATAACTGCTGTATTTTTATGAAGGTTTAAAAGGACATAATTTCAGTTATGAAGTGAATCAACCACTTATTAGCCGAATGAACCATAAGACTGACCTTTTAGTAGATGTAAAATTGGCACACTTAGGTTTACATATTTTAAAAATTGAATACTAAGCAAGTCGTTTATCTGCTTGGGGTGCTACGGCCTTTGATTTCTACTCCCAGGTATCGCTGAAATGGTCAGCTGAGGTTTTGTTTGCTTGTTTGTTTTTAACAGCTTAGGTTTTGAATTGCATTTTCTTTTTCATTTTGGAAGGTAACTTGGTATTTCTCATAATTTAGTGTAAGTTCAGAATTTTACTTGAAGCTCAGTTTGAAAAGGAAATGTATGTTTCGTCTCTGATTCAACATTAAGTTTCCTCTATCCCAGCAAATGTTTCTGTCTCCACTCATCCTTACTGTTTGATTCATGAAGGGTATTTTATTTGTGTATATGCTTAGTCCCACCTATTCCAGTGTCTCTTAGATTGTTTCTCTTCAGTTACGTTCCTTTTCTTTATCCTCTCTTTCTGTCTTTTCCCCTGCTTACGCACAAAATCTGTTTCCCCACATGAAAATAACCAATCCTTCTCTCCACCTTGCTGCGCTTCAATCTACCATGTCATTTTATCTCTTTGCTTCTCTATTCCGGCCAATTCTTGAAAGATTAACTTTATTTGCTGCCTCTACATCTTGACCTTTTGCAGTCTGGCTTCTATGCTTACCACTTTATTGGAACTCCATTTTAACGGAGTCACTAATAACTTCCTATTTCCCACATCTAACAGTCTTTTCTAAGCTCTCATCCTCTGACCTTTTGCAGTATTTGAGGATGCGGATCACAGTTTTCTTCTTGACAGCTCTTCCATGGACATACATGACACTTCAGCCTCAGTTGTCCAACCTCTGTGACTGCCTGTCTCTTATTTCTTTTTTGAATCGTTCTCTGTATTTGCTTGGTAAATGTATTTATTAACATGTTCTTCTGCTTTTGCTGTTCCTCCCACTTATGTGTATTCCTTTTTGCTGGATTTTAGCTCCAGGAGCTAGGACAAAACTATGGGGGACACCCTGAGGGACTCTTAGGCTGAATCCGGAGGAAACATATCAGAGATGCCAGAAGGGAGATCCAATGTTGTGGTTAGGAAATGGTGCCCAAATATTAAGTCTGAAAGGTAAGGATGAAAAATGGGAAAGTAAGCAGTAAGAGTAGTAGTTTGTATGATGGAAAATAGACAGATGGGACAAGAGCATGAATGTCTATCTTCTCCAATCACTTTGTACCTGAGAGCCCAATGCGTATTACCTGGGAGCGTGATCTCTTGAAGGAATTGCTGGGGCTTTGGCTTCAACAATCACTTCTCAGGTGATGAACCTCAAATCTGCATCTGAATCCCCATTAAATTCTCGTATGAACCAGAGTTCTACTAGTATTTCAATCTTCCTCTTATGGTTTCCCCAGGATATTTAACTGGTACCCCAAGTTTAACATTACAAATTAAATTTATTTTCTTTATCCTGAAACCACCTTTTTTGGGGGGGGGTGGGGTTCCTAATATATCACTGTGTCATTCTGGATAAAAATCCAAAGCCCCCTACTGGGGATGGAGGTGGCAACCTGGGCATGTGCCCTGACATGGAATGGAACTGTGACCTCCTGGTTCATGGGTTGCTGCTCAACCACTGAGTCACACCGGCTGGGCTAGAAGACACTTTAAACTTATCTCGACATTCCTCCCAGAGATACTTGCTTCCCCCTCAGTGTTTTGGGAGCACTTATGCTTTCTACCATTGTGTATTGATGTGTGAGATACATATATATATATATACACACATACATATACATATATATATATATACTATATTACATGTTATGTACATATTTCTATACATGAATTATACATCCCTATAGATTGTAAGCTCCCTGGTGGGCAGGAACTGTCTCTTATTTACCTGCTACTACCATATATTCCTTGCATTGACTTGCAACAAATGTGCATTAAATGGAATTAAACAACTGGCTGGGCTGGAAGGACTCTGATCCCAATGAATAGTAGGTAATCTATGAGAGTCATTTTAATTTAACATTAATTTCATTTTTTGTGCATTTGTTTTATCTGAAAAGCTTTTTTATTAAGCTCTGCTGATGGCATAAGTGGAACAGTTAACTGGAAGACCAAACAGGCCAACAATTTTATTATCAGCAGAAAAATGGCTGCTGGGAAGAAACATGGTGAGTTTAGGTTGTAAATCTGAATCCCTTTGGGGAGTCAGTTAAATGTCTGCTTCCAATACCCCTTCTCCTCGTTTTAGTCATGTGTGGATTTTTTTTAAGTCAATCTGAAAAAAAGTTAAAATTTGTTTTCCTAATCTTCTAAAACTTCTGATTCTCTGTGTTCTTAATCCATTATTTCCCAAGTGTTTTTCCTTTGCAATAGTTATACTTTTTTAAAAAAACTAAAAATAATTATGTTTTTAACCTATTGTTGCCCCTTATCCAGTCACTGGCTTGCCACTTATAAAAATTGTCCCAGTGTGGTTATTATAACAATTAACATTGAAAAACATTAAGAAGTATATTTAACATAAATCACTTTAAGACAGTATTTATATAACCTTAGAAAAATAGTCATAAAATGTTTTGGCTAATTGTGGATGATTTTTTGAATGATTTTTGTGCAAAACCATATTGATATGTTTTGCAATTAAATAATTTGATGCCAATTGTTTTGTTTTGAAAGATGACCTGACCCTTGAATGATTTATTGTTTCTTCTCATTTTTTCTTTTATATGGATAAGTGTGTCCATTAGCAATATGCCAAGACCTTTGAAATACTGCATTTCATCATGGAGAAAAATATTAATAACCAAATATTAGTGGTTTTCAAAATATCAAGTATTATAAGTTTTCAGTTAATATTGTATTTCTTGATTATTTACCTTTCTGATCCCTCTTACACCTCATTCCTCACCACTACCACCACACATACACACACATACACACAATTTTGACTATATGTGGTCATGAACATTAGTAGAATAGTAGCCTGGTTTTCATAACTTTGGGGCAACTTAAGTGTCTATAAAAATAACAATTTTAAAATATTTTTAAAAGAATAGCAATTTTATGCACTCAAATGGCCTTACTACTAAATAAAACCAGAGTACCTTGTAGGAGCGATTCCTGGCTTACCTCATTTTATTCATACATCCTTCAAGTTGGAGGTCACTAACTTTTCTCCTGCTAGCACCAAATTATTCCACAGCTGGAATCTTCTATTCCAAGATTTATTTCAGAGTAAGACAAAAGACCCCATTGTTCTCCTACCCTGCTTCTTTGAAACAAACCAACAAACATATTTTTTTTTGCATTTTTAAGTAATTTCCATTGCTAATATCGATAAGAAAATATAGTTTTATTATAAGAACTTTCCATGAAAAGATCACAAAAATTTGTTTTAGAAAACTACTCGATATACTTGTTCCAGGATCTAAGCCCATCGTGTCATAGTCCGTTCCCCAGACCCTCCTTAGGTATTCTCATGGAATTCTCCCTGGCTTCTTTAAGGAAATCAACCCTGACTACCCTTACCTGGCTGGTTCCTTAATCAAGCTGAGGGCCCTCAGCTTCTCTGGCACATCCACTCCTGTTTTATAATTTTCTAGTCCTGCTCATCAGATGGCCCTCAGTGTTGCCATCTGCAAGGTGCTCCTCTCCTCTGTCATTTCCCAAAGACTTGGGACTGGCCTGATTCTGGTGACCCATGTAAGATTCCCAAAGACTCTTCCCCTGGACTTGACACTATTTTGTCCTAAATTGCAGTTATTTCCTTTTTCTTCAGTTCCTTCTCTTTAATTTTGATCCCTAAAATTTCTGTCCTCTTTGAGCATGTCCCTTCATTTCCTATTTCATTTGCCAAAAGGGTACTCTCGAACCAGCTGTTAAACCCAGTTGAGTTGTCTACTATGGTGCTGTTCTTGGGGAAATAAACGATTCCAAGACCTTTAATAGAGGTATTATCTCTTCCTCTTTCAAACTTTATGCTGCCATTTGACCTCAAACTGATTTTCTCCTTGGGACTTGAAAGAGAACTGTACTTTTCAAAATAGAAATGAGCAATACATCTTGAACCTGTTGAGGTAACCAGTTCAGGTTACCACATTATGTTTATTTCTTCAGTTTCTCTTGAACTTATCCTTTAGCATCTTCTCCCTTTCTGGTCTCTTTGTCCAATTTAAATTTTATTATTGTGGTTCTGATGATCAAATATCTTATACAGAGAATAATAAGGTTCATCAACCATGTGAACAGAATTGTTTGTAGTATCTTATATAGCAAGGGTATTTTAAATGGTATCTCAGATCTATCAAATGTTCTGTGAAATGTTTTTTACAATTTCAAGAGAGCACAAAAGATTATAAGAGAATTTAAATAGGGAAATAAGCTTAGCAATTATATTTTTTGTATAACTTTCTTTTTAAAAAGTGTTCCAATTCTTAATTTTGGCAATGGGTGGTGCCTTATCAGTAAATTGGATTTTGAGGAATTTAAATGTCTCAAACCAATATTTTTGGCATCATTCTACCTTGATACACATGAAGTGGTTGCAAAATCCAGAATGAACACTCTAAATATGGTTTCTTTTTTCTTTTTCCTGGGGTGAGGGTAGAGGAACTTAAAATTTACCCCTGGAACAATTTAAATAAAAAGAAATAAGCCTTTGCATTACTCATTTATATGCTTCACAGATAAACATTTTCAAATTCTACTTTCTTACTTAGGGCAACTCATGTTCTAAAATGGGTTAGTCTTAGGTTTACTGATAAACTTCTAATGCTTTCTTCCCTAAGAAACAAAGAGAAAACCAAAATGGTCTTGTGCTGATTTTCTAATTATTTTCAACTTAAATGTTAAACTTTAATTAGACATTCATGGGAATGAAGTAATATGTGAGTCGAATAATTGGGTAGGATTCCCTTTTGCCGTCTCAAAGGAGGCTCCTTCTTAGCTATTGACAGTCAAGGGACTGCATGGCTCAAAGACAGAAAAATCTCTCTGGGTGACCTTTTACCCCTCTTTCGTTGGAGAGGAGCAGGAAGTGCTCTTAGGACTTAAGATGTATTCTTCTTTGCCTCAGAAAGGTGGCAAAGCCAGGAGGAAGGATCACCACGTTAGGACTTCAAAAGACCATCAACCAGAGATGTGAGTTTCTCTTTCTAGACTCTTAGCTATGAGGGCTGAAATGTCTCAAACTTTTTTCTTTCTTTAAACAAAAGAAACTTCCGGTTTGTATCTTGAAATTGTTATTGTCAACTCACTTTTTCCAATGGGGCAGTGTAATTATGATAACTTCATGAAATAATAGAATGATCTTCGATTGGACAAATTCTGACTCGTCAGAAAAGCAAGAGAGATAATTAAGAAAGTTAAGGTGTTATGGAACATAATTAGCTTACTGTGGTAGATTTAATAATATAATGTACAGCCACCAAATGTATTACTTTATGTTTTCAAACAAAATACTGATTCCTTGAATCAAGTCCTGGCTCTTCCTCTTACTAGTTCAATAGCCTTGAATCTGTTTGCCTTGCTGGCTTCAATTTTGTGATGTATAAAATGGAAGACTGAACTCTCCAGGAGAGCAAAGGCATGCCAATTCCAATTGGTGGTATCTGTCAGGAGTTCTCAGTTAAGTAGAAGGCTGCGGCCATATCCCAATAGTAAGTGACTATGATCTGTTTTTTTGTTAGCAGAGTCAGGCAGGATGACATCTAAAGCCCTTTCAACTGCAGCGTTCTATGAGACTAAGTTTATTGATCACCAATTCATAATGATTTGCAGCCACTTTCCAAATGACATTTAAGAAAAAGAAAAAACCACAGCAAAACACGTTGTTATTACGTGAAAAATCAAGATATTTAGCTCTAGTTTAGAAAAATGGTTTCAGTAAGTGGCTTCAGTTAGAGGTGAGAGTGGGGGTGTGTGTGTCATGAAGAAACACTCTGGTTTTTGTAGAAAAAGTAGTGGTTTCTCTTCTGCCTCATGTAAAGAAAAATGGCCATATCTCTTAGAAGAATGGAATTTAAAAAGGCAGTTTAATGCCTTCCCTGTGATTAATTCTACAGCCGAGGCACGGGCTATCTGTGACAAAGGGAGGGGGCCTGGATGGAGGTCAGTAAAGGGGGGAAGTGGGAGACATCTGTAATAGTGTCAACATAAAAAAGAAAACATTAGCTGAATCCCTCCCCCGCCCCCAAATGAGTGGCCTGCAGCACTCTGATGTTGAGTAAACTCATAGGTGAAAAGCAGACTGCTGAGAAAAGCTTGTTTCAAAGCCACGATTTTTAAAGCTGGATTGATAAAACACAAGGTAAATCTTAGAGGGGAAAAAAGCAAAACAGGTTGTGTACCTGGCTGGGTATTGATGTGCCTCAAAATACTTTTCTACAGCAATTATTTGATTTAGTAATTATATTTCAATTTGACTATAGAAATTACACATTAAAAAATAAATTAGGGAGGAAACCATAAACATCAGCTTCTGTAAACCCTGAAATGAGTTGTTGATGCAGAGATAGCAAATGGATTCATCTCTTATAATCAATTCTGATGAATTGCCAGCAGCTTCTTGGCGTGCTCATGGATACAGGGGCTCGGGGACTCATACAGAGCTTTTTGCTGTTAAAACTATAAAATATAAGACAAGCCTTATTTTTCTTGCCGGTACTTACAATTTTTAATTTTCAGAGATGATTGTATAGTTAAATAAGTTTAGCAATTGTATTTTGGGTGTAACTTCCTTTTTAAAAAATATTCTAATTCTTAACGTTTGCAATCTTCTGTGAAAAGGATTTTGAGAAATTGAGATGTCTTGGTTGCTTAGGCAAAAGTTAATTTTTAAAGTCTCATCAGGTAAGTGGCTTTTCAGTATTATCCTTATATCTTAAACATATTAAAAAATATTCTTCATTTTTCTTACCCAAATAGTAAGTATAATATTTCCTATTCAGGCAATACTCTAAGCAATTGGGACATTTCCACTATATTAGGTAAGTAATTTGTTCTCATAAAGCACCCTTGTCATATTTTCCAATGACTAGCTTATATCTTAAAACTCTATGAACATGAGAGACAAATTAACAAAATTGAAATGCTTTTATAAACAGACTTTAATTTCTTAGTAATACATTACTTATTAATTAGAATATGTGATATTTGCAGGCTGATTTAG